TTTAACTGAAAAACAAATTAATTAATAGTAGATGAAATTAAACTTTGAAAGAAAGAATCTTAAAAAAATTGAACAATACATTAACAATTAGCTCACACGACTATAACTAAAAATTAAAAAAAAAAAACAGTCAAATAAAATATTTTTTAGTGAATACTTGCGTAACTTTTTATCGAGATAGAATACTTAATGTTAAATTATAAAAGTATTATTTTATTTATATCGTAGTAGAATGGTTCCTTGAATAAAGAAATATATATTTCACCCAAATATTAATGGTAAATAACGAAAATTAAAAAATGTCAAAGGATGCTATTTTGTCGTTGTTAGGCAAAGATATTAACATATATCTTCCAATATTTTTAAGTTATACGCAAGTTTTTTTTTTTTTTTAAGTAATTCAATGAACTTACCCTTCTCTCTCTCTCTTTTCTTTCTTCTTTCATAGCACCTCTTAGTTTCTTGACTTAGATTGAGATGCAACATTATTTGTTGTTATTATTATTATTATTATTATTATTATTTTAGTTCAACACTTCTGAACTATTAATATCAAAAGGAAGACGTTAGTGATTTGTAAGAAAGAAATAACATTGCAAAATTTAGAACTCAAATTTTTATGTTTCAATTATATGTTAAGCGCTATTCTAACCTCCCTTGCTCAAGTTAAGAATATATTTCATCATTGGCTAATTATATGTTTTAGTCCCTAACGTTGGGAAGCTTTTCTCAATTTAGTTCTTATTATTATAAAAAATTTAATTTAGCCCCCCGTGTTTTGACACTTTTCAATGTATTCTCTCGTCATTGATATTTGCAGATGATAAACTTTTGGTGACATAATACTTAGCAAATTGATGTAAATTTATATGATAAAAAAGGTTATTAATGGAAGAAAAGTCGAAATTTCTACCCATTGCTTATAAATTTGGAGTTAAGAAACTTTCTTAGCCAATTTTTAATATTTACCAACAGGGAGGGCTATATTAAAAATACTAAAATTACCGAAACACATATATTTAGCCATAATCACTTTTAACCATATCTCAACAAAATTCTATTGTCTATCCCTTCATTTGGAAACAAGTTCAAGAAATGTTTTAAAATTCAAAAATATTATTTTAATTTTTTTCTTGTTTGGAACGAAATTTTTTTGAAATGAAAGTAATTAAATTTGTTTGTTCGGATGTTTTCTAGAAAGAAAAAAAAAATGATAAGTTTACTGATATATGCTTTTTGATATTGATTTATTAATGAAAAGTTAAAACATGATAGGATTAAATAAGTAATTTGATTTAAAATTCTATGAAATCGAGCAAAATTCTAATCATAGTTTTTTAATGTAAAAACATGATTTAAAATCACATAAAATTTTAAATAATTCAAATACGTATGATAACAAACATCAAAATTCCTTTAAAATCTACTCTTATTTGAAATCAGTTAAAGTCATAGGGAAAAAGTATATATTATATAACCTTCTAATTTAGTATATGATGAGGAGTATATGTTTATTATACTATATATTAGAAGATTAAAAGAAAAAAATCTATTACATAAGGACCGATTGAAATATATTACATAATCTAATAGTTTAGTATAAAGTAATAAAAAATATATATATACAAGCTTTTAGAGGAGTGTATATTTATCATACTATTGAAAAAAAAAAGTCGAAAAAAAATAATATACGCTAAAAAATTCAAATCAGAACTATAGGAAAATTCAAGCTAGAAACACCAGAAGAATTAAAGAATTTGGAATGTTTATTTTGATTAGATAAAAATATGAAAAAAGTTATTTTTATCATAAAAATGAAATAATTTAGAGTATATTATTGAAAGGAGAAAATTAGAGAAATAAATTAGTTGGGATCAAGAGAGATTAATATTTGAAAATTTAAATATATCATATTTAATATGAAAAATTCAAATTTGAAAATATTAAATTAAAAATAAATATGTAAAATATGAAAACACGACGTGAAAGATAGTTTTCAAAACGATACACGATACATAGGACCATTCCTCTCTATTCTACCGCTCATTTCATTTAGATATTTTATATTTAGAAAGAAGAAAAATGAAAAGTCAACGACGTGGAAACAAATTAAAATGATATGAAAAAAGGTTTCATATACCATATAAGTTGGAGGTTACAAGGGTTGAGAAGTAGACATTATCTTCTCGAGCAATTATACACCACACACTCCAATGAATTAATATGTCTTTGACCAACCACACATTATTGCCTCGTAAATTGATATGATCGACCCCGGTAACTCAATGACTTTGATAATTTAAATCTTATATAAAATATTAATTATCAATAATATCTTTGGTTCGGTGTAAATCACACGGAGAAAAATATTTGAAAAGTGTGGTAACTATAGGCTACGTCCAGTCTTCTGCAACAACGAATTCTACTATGATTATGATTTTGAGATAATACAATAAGCAATATAATAATCTCCTCTAAGAAATAGAATCCTTCTACGAAACAAAAATGAAAGAACCTCACTAAATACCCACGAGAATAGCTAGGTTGTCAACTTCGCTCTACAACCTCGAGATCTCATCTATCAAACACTACCCTGTCAGCCCAAGGGCGGATGGACGAAGGGAAGCCCCCCCCCCGGTAAACAAAATATTGTTTGCTCTAGTGGTCGTTCGATATATCCTATTTAATTTATAATACTTTATTCGCCTTTTTTTCTCTTTTAATTTTTTTAATAATTCAAGTGCAAGGTTCGATTTTTGTAAAATTTTCAAAACAAATTCCTTTGACTTTCTATGAGCTTACTTTTTGGAAAGGTGGGTAGAAAAGAGAGAGAGAAAAAAAAAAGAAAAAAGACATAAAAAGAAGAAAATTGAATTTGACATTGGCTACATGAACAGCTAGTGGGTTGTTTGGCATCTAACTCGTTCTCAATTTCATGTAATCAAAATCTAGAAAGGGAATAATAGATTTGAATTTTAATGGATAACTGCTTCGTAGACTAAAATCTGAATATAATTTTTGAAATTTTAAATAGGCTAACATTTGAAAACAGCTGAGTTATAATTTTCCACATTTTTTTAGTTCGAAATCCAAAGCTTTGAAAAACACGAAATTGTCTTGAAATGAAGACAGCAACTATGTCAAACAAGTTACAACATGCTCCTTTTGCATCGCCAATTAACCCATCAGGTTGAATTCTAGGGTCAAGAATGTTATCATAAGAAATTGGCTATGAGAGACTTTTTTAAGTATCGCAAGAAAATGTCTATTGATAGAACTGGATGTCGATACAAGCTATCAGGTCTTTAAATCTCTCCTCTCTCCTCAAATTTAGAGGGGTATTTTCCATTTTGAACTCCACTTGAATTATGTTAAGGGTAAAATCGAGTAGGACACGTGTCGGGCTGCTAAGACAACATCAAGGCGCGCGACCACAAACAGTTACACACTATACTCTGCAGGGATAGGGGAGTGCGCCTCCACCTTTGTCGTACGAGAAGCACGCGGAGCACTACGACCTGACATTCACAGGCGACAGGTCTCAACCTGCAGGCGGAGGTGTCACCCACTAGTTGTCGGGGGTGTACACTCCCTCGTCAGGCACCGTACAGCTCGGTGCACCCTTGTCATCCCAACTGTCATCCTTCCTAGTCAGCCACCAGCACCTATAAAAGGGAAGAACCCTCACCTTTGTCAAGGAAGTAAAAAACCTATCGCTGAAACTCTAAAGGTGTTTTTTTATTTACTACTCCGATTACTAACTTGAGCATCATAGTGTATTAGGCGGGACTGCACCAGCGTCGAGTTTTCTGGTTGACATATGTTTTAAGTAATGGGGAATGGAAAATAACGTGATGAAAAAGTTTTTGGTCCCTTGCAAACATCTTTTGTGAAATATTTTAAACCAAGTGATTAGAGTCAAATTTTTTGGATCTTTTAAATAATGTATTTCAAAAAACAAATTACCAAATTAATTAATGTAATTTCGAAAATAATTTCAAAAATAAGAAAAATAAATCGAGTACATTGCACGTGATTCAGGATAAATCGCGTGCATTTGCACTCTTTATTTTTATTTCACATTATCAAAGACTCGTCTATATAAATTGTGTTTAGCATGGTGCTGCATTCCTTCCAATAATACCCTTGTGGTGGGCTTATGTCCAAGTTTCCACATTTTTTGATTAAAAAGAAATACAAAAGAATAAATAAATAAAAATACAAACTTGAGGCTCGTACTCGTTTGGACACCGTACGCAATTCCCTATACCGTGTAAATTTTTTATTTTGACCGAAAACTACCCTTTTTTTAAAAAAAAAAATAGTTTCTAGCTTTATAATTTCTTATTTAATTTACCTTTTTTTATTTTTTTGTAATCGTATTTTAAAATTACATTATTTCTAAAATTAACTCCAAATGTTTACCCTAAACATTCAAGAATCTTAAGGAATTTTAATTTTATTAAATTTAATATTTATTTAATTGAAGGGAAACCAAAAAAAATAAGTAAAGAATACAGAATTGCAAAAAGTGAATTTAAAAATGAAGAAGGGGCGAAATAGAAATGAATAGCTTCTCTGCCCATTTTATGTAGTATAGCTAATTACTTTTAATAAAATTTTACAATTTTGATAAATAAATAAGAACAATTCTAAAGTAAAAATTCATTCAAATAAAATAAGGTAAATTCTTAGTATTAATATTATATCCACGGTACTAATATTTTTTCCTAATATTTTCTTACATCCTTTTTGAATTCTTTTCAATATAATAGAAATGTCAAATTTGCCCGTTGAGTCCCTAAACTTTAACTTGTAACAATTTGGTCTTTGTAGTTTAAAATTTGTAACAACCTAGTCCCTATCGTAAAAATTTTTATTAATATTAATTGTCAAATTTTATCATATAATAATTTAATTTTTTTAATTATAAACATATTTGACCTCTCTTTAGTTTATATATATATAAGAAGCTTAACAAAAAGCTTAACAAAAAAAAATTCACAATAAATACTAAATTATTAACAACTTTAAATTACAATTGTTAGTGGGAAAAACATGGCAACTAGAAGGAAAATGCTATGAAATTTTGAAGATGATTCATAACATGAGACTGCGCGAGAAAAGAGAAACTACATAATGAGTTTAGCAAATCGGTGCTTCAGATTTGACAGAGTTCAGTCTGGACCAACCTTTTCAGCTTTTTCCAAATTGGATACGCAATGCCAAGACAGTCGTGTAAATTCTTCTTGCTTCATGCCTTCCAAAATGGGGATTCAGCCAAATACAGCAGAAGAAGACAGCTCCATTGACTGTAAAATAACCATGTTTCAAATATGGAATAGCATCAAGAAGCAACCCCATAACTATTCCTGATTGAGTAATCCAGAGGCAGAGAACATGGCTAAAGAAACTAAATTCTAAGATGATGCTGATGAATGTAATAACTTCTAAATTCTTGTAGTATGGTCACAATTTGATGAGTTACAATATCCCAACCTCTTTGCACATCTGAAGGTGAAGGAGCATCCAACCCGAGTTACCCGCCGCACTCTGTCCCTGCGAGAGAATCATTTTGCAGAGATTGGGTAAAATATCAATTGCTCAGGGCGAAGGTTAAAGCAGGGCTTTGTTTCCTTCAATTTGATAATTTGATGGCAATTTAATTATTTATGATATCCCAACTTCTCCGCATGTATGAAGGCAAAGGAGCATCCAACTCCAGACATTCCAATTCTGAGAAGTCATGATCTAGAGAATCATTAGGCAGTGCGCCAGAAACATTTGGTAAAGCCAATTGTTTACAGTGAAGGTGTAGGCGAGGGCTATTTTCTGCAACACTTCCATTTTCAAAATCAAGACCAAATGGAAGGGATTGTTTCTTTCCTTGGTTCTTGTGGAAATTAGAAGGAAATGGTTCCCAATTTCTATGTGCTTGCCATCCATATTTGTAGTCGCCAACTATCGGTGTTCCTAATACCTCAGCACAGTGTACACGAAGCTGCATTAAACACATACAATGCAAGGCATATTCAGCCAAAAATATGTAGAAAAAGAGACTAAATGCTCATAGTAGCTGGAAACATTGATGCTGGATGGCACCTGATGTTTTCTTCCAGTGAGGGGACACAACTCCAACCAAGTGTATCCTGCATTATGGCCATGTAATAAATGAAGGGAGCCTGATGTTTTCTCTAGCATAGTTAAGATAGGTGCATTCAAGTTATACATGAATGAAATTAGTTTCAATAGATAGGATTTATTCAAACGATTGATTCTCGTGAGTTGTGATGAAAAATAACAGAGTGCAAAGTGCCTTTTCTTTTACTCGTGAGGCATTCTTTTAAAAGCCAGGTAAGTAGAACTGTAACTGACTACTTGAGCATAAAGCTGTCTTCTAGCTAACTTAGACGGTGATGGTATAAAACTTTTCTCATTATGAACTACAGAGAAAAAATAACGAGTACAAGTTCTCAGACATTTCCTACCCCCTCGATTTTAAAAAAATCCCTTCCCAGCCAAATGATCAGCTGCAAGCTTTATCATAAACAGGATACTGAAGAAACGATCTCATGTCCCAATACAAACTACCCAAGTAGTAAAGAGAATTAAGAAACCTACTAAGTCTACAATCTGATGCATGTTCATACGATGATTCCATTATGACTTGACTATTCGGATTAAAAATATGTTCCACTTGAAAAATCAAATGCGAATCAACAAATGCTGTGTAAAATGGTGAAGTGCAAACCATGATGAGATTTAATCACTCTATAAGTAGTAATTGCTTGCTGAAAAGCCATAGATTCGGCATTGTCAATGACCATAATTTTCTCAGATCTTCCATCGTCCAGCACAATCTAAAATAATTAGAGGGCGCACATAAATTTCTAGACAATAGATGAGGAAAGAAACAGTTAATAATCACAAAGAAATCAATGCAATGTATGGTTATCAATATAAGATAAAACTTCCAAGATAGTTTCTTGAAAGCAATTTTACACAAACCTTTCCTAGTGGGGCTGTAATCAATCCATTTGGACGTCTCGGAGAACCAATTACAAGTGCCCAATACTTTTTCTGCAAAATCTTTTTCTCACTATCAACATGCTTTGATGCAAGAAAAAGTAAAACAAATAACCATGTTAATTTTTAATAATATCAATAATTCTGCCTTTTTTTTCTCCAGATTGTTATATTGTTTTAGGTAGGGAGAGAAGTACATGTTTTGATGCCCCAAAAGTTTTCTCACGGAAGATAGAATGGAGAACTGAAGTACTTGTGGAAGTCCTGCCCATTACCAAGATGCCACTACTGTCCCTGTCAAGCCTATGTACCTGGCAAATGCAAAGCCCACATCTTTGTTCAGATAAAACATTTCAATATATGAACCACCCATCACCAAAGGGGAAAGATCAAACTAGAAAGTAGAAACACCACAAATGTTTTTTTTTTTTTTTTTTGACAATAAACGAACTTTATGTTCAAAGATACAAACTTCACCACAAATGATTTTATATAAATCATTTTATGGCATGTTGTTTAATGAAGTTGAACAAAATGACCAATGTCAGAGTTCATCATTTAAAGGTCAAGTTCAAACACCATTAATTAACTCCAAGCACAAGGACACTATTTTCTGATTGATTTCAACATGTAGAAGGAAACGCTCAAGAATTAGGAATACAACAAAATCAATGATTTGAAGAAAAACTTACAAGCCGAGGTGGTTCTGAGTAGTCATAACTTAGACAACTTGCAGCCAGTTCGTCTAAACTCCTTGTGATGCCAATACCACCCTGCACAAACATTTTTATTTGCTATAATTTTGTTAACTCTACGACCATGATTATTCATAAGGATCAATGGTACAAGTTGGACACCATACCTGAACAGGCAAGCCAGGAGGTTTATTGATAACAATTATTGCTGGATCCTGACATAATAAATGTGGGTCACATGAAGCAGGAGGAACTAAGAATTGTTAACAGAGGGGGAATTCAGTGAAAAGTGAAAACCTTATACAAAACTAGACTATGCATAAATTTCTCTTCTTCTTTATTGCAATAATCCCGTGCTCTCTCTCTAGGAAATACTTGAACCGAGATAGGGAGAAAAATTTGATCACCTACGTTCAAAATATCCTTGGCTGCCACCTTGCAATAACTTAAAATGTTAGTAAGAAACTAAGAAAGTTTCTTCCGTATGGAAAGCATTATGATAACCTTCAATGAATTGCAGCGTGCATAATCAAAGTTCTCTGAATCAGAACATAAACATAGTAACTAATATCCATGTAAGAAAGAAAATAACTGCTTACTCTTTTAAGTTGGTTTTGAGCTTCCAAATTACATTCCGAACTCTCAATCATAGAAGAACCTCTTCGAATCTGAAAGATGCCAAAAGGAAAAGATTCATAAAAACTGAGGAAGATGTTTAACAATCAACTCGAAATTTGCCAATGCGTTACCACATAAACATTGAATTGCATGATAAGACGGACAATTGATAGAATCCGAAGGCATTATCTTAGCTAGCTTCACGGATCATTCAATTGCTTTAACTTAACTGAGTATTGAGTGAGATTTAGGACGGAACCTTTCTAAGGCGAAATAGCTTCTGTACGAGGCTCCTTGGCAGCTCCGGGCAGCAGCGAAGCACCCATTTCAGAGCGGTGATTGCAGTAGTGGAAGTTTCATCTTCTGCTTGAGATCCTTGGTTCAGAATTCGATTACCTAAAACCGAGCCGTCGACAGTCGCAGTGTAGGGAGGCAACGTGAACCATCTATTAAATCCTTTCTTCTCATTCTTCTCTTCGGAAATGGTTTCGGAGGTGTTGCTCAAGGCGAATGTAGATTTCAGCTCGTGAAAAACCGAGAAATGGAGGCTGTGGCCGCCGCGAGCGGTGGAAGATGGGGTGCCACTAAGGATGAGGGAACGACGGAGGAGCGCCGGAAGTAGCATGGCGGAGGGCTTCGTTGGAGGAGGAAACGAACACAGAAAACGAGGGATTTCAATTTGCATTGGAAACATGGAAAATGGGCCGAAAGGTATAGCCGTAGCCCATCTTGAATTTAAGTGGGCTAAATGATAGCAATTATCTGGGCCCATTTGGACTAGTGACTTTAAACTTTGGGATAAGTACCCTAATGGACAATTTGGGTAATCAAATTACATAAATGGCTTAACTATTAAAATTTTACACTTTTATCATAAAATGGGCCTAAAAAGGATGGTATCCCTTTGATTTTTTACCAAGTTACCCTTGAATGCATATTTAATAAACAATTAAAATAAAATTTCAAATTAGGGAAAAACGATTTTTTAGGACAATAAAAATCAAATTTGTCCAGGATTCACATCCCTAAATCATCTCAAAATTTGAAATCCTTTAATTATAGGACCCCCATAACTTCCTTAAGGAAAAAACTTAAAAGGGATTTGAAATTCTCTTTGCCTTCTTAAACTTTTTTTCCAAGTTGGTTGCAATTCTAGCGTTTTCCACCAACAATAAGGAACCTTTTTTTGTGCCGGAAGTTTTGATTAAAGCAAACAGCTACCGGACAACCACATGTACATGTAGAGGAGTTGCAGTCAATCGTGGGACAAGATTTGAATCATGCCAAAAAATTATAGATTTTTTTGGCATTTTGCAATTGATTTTACTGTGGATTTGAATCGCGAGGTTATTGCACCATGGGTGTTATCACCACGGCAAAACTGATGTCGTAGAACGACGTCGCTAATGCAAGGGAGTCACACCGCCGTGGAAGGATGTCGCCACTGCTACTGTTCCCAGTTACGTCGCCAGCTACTGCAGATCATCGTTTATGGTGGGTTGCATCGTCACAAGTTTGTCATTGCTTGGGTGTCGTCGGAAAACGAGGGACTGGGGCAGCTACTTTCGAGAGTGAGAAAAAAATAATATAAAATCTATGGTTTTTTTTTCAAAGGAGAAAATAGGTGATGTCACCATATATAGAGAAAAATAGTATATTATTATATAATCTATCGGGGTATATTATTATTAGATAAAAAGGTATATATTATATAACCTTCTAGTTAGAAGTATATATAACAATAAAAAGTATATATTATACCACATTTTATAAGAGTATATGTTTATATTAGAATATTAAAATGAAAAATATATTATATAATGGTCGTAGGAGTATATTATATAATCTAATAGTTTAGTATATAGCAACAAAAAAAATATATCATATAACTTTTTGAAAAAGTATATGTTTATCATACACACCGGAAAAAAAAAATAATGAAGGGAAGAAGATAATTAAAATAACAAGTATATATTATATAATCATGTTTATTATACTATTGCAGAAAAAAAAAAGCTAAAAAAAAAGAGGTAAAAAAAACTTATGGTAACATTTGAATAACATAATAATATTTTGGTTGTACAAAGCACTGTAGTTGATATAGATTTCATGATATGGAGCCCTCCGACTTCAAAGTTTTGAAAATTTTTGTTGGTTTGATATAATATATAGTTCATAGTTCATATATAAGTTTATGTGAGATTGATTTCAATTGATTGATTCTTTATCATAAAATCAACTCTTATTGTTTATAGCTGGATATAGTTTATATTCGTATCAAGTTGGGAGATGATTCTGCTTCAGTTTTAAGAACTCGATAACCTGATATAGTTTATATATGTTTGTATCATCTATTGAGATATAGAAGTATATAGTTTATAACTGACTCATAAGTGCTTATGTACACGTAATCGTAAAGTATTATTATTTGAATTGATTATTTCCATATTCCTTAATCTCTTAAAATTAATTACAAAAAAATTATTGTAATATATGTTAACAATTTAGTATAACATATTAAGAGATTATAAAATAAATGATTTGGGACCCAAAATCAAGAGATTTAAATATTTGAAATTTAAATAAAATAACTAACAATAATAAATATAAATATCATAAATAAGGGTAAAATCGAAATTAAAATAAAATATTACATGCAGAAATTTAAAAGTGTAAAATTAGAAAATTTTAGATATTTGTGTAAATAAATTTCTAAAACAGTCCTCCGGAGACATTATCTCTTAAACTTTAGAAACTACAAATTGAACTTTAGAAACTACAAAGCAAAAAAAAAAAGTTAATATTATCAAAAAGGATAGTGGTATTTTTTAAGCAAATGACAAAATTGAGGGATATTATTGTAATTTAACGAAAAAAATAATAATAAAATAAAAGTGAGAACGAATTTCTTCTATCAAGTTTTTTATAACAAAAATTTAATTAAATATACATACGACCATAATTTAAATGATCAAACATTTATGTCTTTTTTTTATGGTTTAAAGTTTGAATCTAAAACAAATGTGTTTAAGAATCAACGTCAACATGGTTGGACTTTAGAACCTGTAAGTTCAAATCTGTTCACTCGTGTGTATAATTTTTTTAAAAAAATGCATTTAAAGGTACGAGTCATGTATTCCCCCAGTTTGTGTGTAGCTCAACTAATTGAAATATCTATATTCTATCAAAAGATCGTGAGTTCGAACTCTTATATTCCTATATATGTACTTAAAAAAAAGTATTGTTCCCTCATTTGTTAGGTTAAATTGTAAAAACGTATTTAAGAGTTAACCAAAGTATATCTGAAATGTTTACTTTCTTTTATTGGGTGTTAAATTTTAATCTCCTTGTCCTTATTTGGGAAGTAATATTTCTAAAAAAAAGTATTGAAACAAAAGATTTAATTATAATTGAAATTTAAAATGATTTTAAACTTTCTTCGAATCAATTTCTTTATTTGTCAAACATGATCAATGGGAATGGGAGGGTTTTTGGGCTGAATAACCATTTTCCCAACACAGTATATTAATTTTTACCCACATTTTTCAAAATCCATGTTTTTTATATGTCAATTACCGCTGAGTAATGCTCGCTTTGACAGCATATATTAGATAATATTATATTATATTATAAAAATATGTAAAAGCTCGTGCAATGCATAATTACTTAGATATCATTTATATTTCCCAATCTTTTCAGAATTAAAACATCATTTTAAAATCAAATTTTAGAGTCCAAAATATAATGGACTGTCCAAATTCATATTTTACAAGTAGAAAATAATCTCTCTTAGATTGGAATTACTTCTCCATTTGTAATGTATATTTTATTATTTTTCGTTAAAAAAAAACACACAAAGTAGTTATTTCCATTTGAAGATTGATTTAAATTTTATTATGTATTATTTTAGTCCATATAAGCACAGTTAGTATAATTTTATTATTATTATTAGGTTAAAAAATACATTTGATCCCTGAACTTTAGTGAAAGTAACGATTTAGTCTCTGTATCTTCAAAAGTAACAATTTAGTCCCTGTATTTTTAAATTGGTAACAATTTAATACTTGTCGATAAAAAATGAATTATATTTAACAAAAATTTGACGTGACATATCATGTGTACAAATAATGTCCAACTTTGTAATTGGTTTAAGTTTTGGTCTGTTCAAATTCGAACCGGTTTAAGATTAAAAAGACAATAATTATAAAAGAAAGATGTCTCCCCCTAACAAATGATGTTGAAGGCGATTCTAACCCTTATCACAAATGGACTAGCCCACGAACCTAGAAGCCTCGTCCTCCGTTGCCAGTTTTCAGAAAATGAAGCTGTCACGGCAAGAATGGGTGAAAAGTTGTGATGGGGAGACATTTTTCTTTGACAGTAGGGACAAAATTGTTATCCATTTAAAATTACAGGGACTAAATCGTTACTTTTAAAAGTTCAGGACTAAATCGTTACCTACACTAGTGACCGAACGTGTTTTTTAACCTTATTATTATTATTATTTTGTAAAGAAAAAAAACAGACTTGATAAACAATTTATATATCCAAGATTATTGAGTTTGGTTTGGATAAGAATGCTATTAGACTTACACGAGAATCAATAATATTTATGTATATTTATAAATTAATTGCAAAATCTTTTATAATTATGATATATTAATGAATAAATTAATTAAAAATGATATGGAGAAACATACATAAATTTATTAATTTTAAACCGTCAATAAATAATTTAATATAATTATTGAAAAATAATTGTTTATGCTGAATTTAATTTAACTAATTTAAATTAATTAACCTTTAGTAAATTTTCATCAGTAAAAATTAATTAAGTATATAATTATTTAAATAATTATCTAACAATAATAATTTATTAATTTATTGTAATTAAATAATGTTTAATAATTATTATTTATTAGTATTAAATAATTATGTATTGAAATTATATATATGTCATTAAAAAAATGAAAAAAAGGGGCAAAAGGAAAACTCATGGTTTTATAGAGGCATAGAATAATACCCTTGTTTATGGGTAGAAGGGACTCGAATCAATTATTCTGAGGTCTCCCTTATCCATTCCCATCTCCAAAACTAGGGGTGCAAGCGAAAACTCATGAATCGATTAAACCAACCCAAATCGACTATTGGTTTGATTTTCGGTTTCGGTTTTATTAAGAATAAAAATCAAGTCGGTTCAAGCTCACTAAAATCCATTAAAAACCCACCTGGCCAATTATTATAATTTTTTTCTTTATTTTTCATTACAAACCTACCATCAAACACTTACGACTCATTTGGTAACGGTCTCGTTTGTCGTTTGTCGTTTCCTATTTCTTTTTTCTATTTTTTTTAATTAGAAATAGGAATATGTTTGGTAATCATTTATGTTTCTTGTTTTTTGGAAAAAAGAATTAGAAACAAAAATATGTTTGAAAATTATTTCATCTTTCTTATTTCTATTTTTTTAAGTAAATAAAATTTAGTAAATATAATATGAAAAGATATAATATAGATTCGAAGAAGAAAATATAATTTAAAATATAAATTTATATAAATTATAAATTATTAGCTTAAATAAATGAATAAAATTTCAAATTTTTAACTTTAAAAATAGGAATTATTTGTTTAATAAAATA